ATAAAGGGAAGGGCACTAATGCATGTGTTCTAGTTTGTGATCATATACGTATTAATAACTGCTGTTGCGATTAATGGGAGCACCACAGAAAATTTTTTAAAGTTGTTACTAAAGGTAATCCTATGAGAGGACTGAAAGGGAGAGAGTCAGCCACCGTTATTTGTGATCTGTGACGAAAAGGAAAACGTGTCTATCGATTCTGCCTTTTTGTGATATTTCTATGGTAATATCTTTGAGTACAAAAATCTATCCAATAGACTGCAACACTTCTTTTTGGTCGTGTTTCACAAAAATTTTTCATAGAATGTTATAGAAAATTAGGCTCACAAGGAGAGGTACCGATGAGACTAGTAAAAGCCTAAAAAGGTTCATGCCCATGAATCTCTGGCACCGACTTATGACTATTTTACTGAATTTTCGATCCATTTTTAGTTATCTACCGAAAAATCAAAAACAAACAGTGAATTTCGATTTAAAATTTTGTCTATAGATAGGTTTAATGATTCTTGCAATATCCTGAAGTTTTGATGGAAAATAACTTTGCTTTGTCTAAATGTTGAATTTTCGAGTAGACTCGATTTTTGTGTGACATATTTGTAGCAAGCGACTATTTTTTTTTTGGAAATTCAATAGCTCGACTAAAGAATATTCTTTTCGGTTGAAACCTTCAGGATATTATAAGAGTTATTAGGCCTATCTATTTAGAGGCAAAATTTTAGATTGAAATTCTGTTTTTTTTAAATTTTCTAATGAATACTTAAAAATGGCTTAAAAATTCAGTAAAATGGTCATAAGTCAACACCAAAGATCCATGAGCACTAACTATTTTAGGCTTTTACTAATCTCACCGACATCTGATTGTGAGTCCAATATAAACTCAAACGATGGATGCCAGTTTAGGTGGTTTCCTTGTAAGACTTTTCTCAGCAAGATATGCAATCTGAAAAGGTATCCTACTGATAACTGACACAGTACATTCACTAGAGAAATATTTTGATTATGTTTTTTAGTTCATACTGATTCAATGTTAATCGATTTACGAAGTCATCAAAATGCTCGATTAGAAAATGGTATTCATATTCGAATTCAAAATTTACAGTCAATATATAATACTTTACAAACGACATATGATATGTGGATACAAAATCTAAAAAAATATCGTGAAGAATGTTCATTATTAAAATTATATTCTAATCGTGAAATAATGGTTTTAATTATTTTACTTCGAAAATCGATTATATCAAATTCCATTCGAAATCATTTTTTAAAAAATTTATTTTCATTTAATGATTTAAATAATGAAAATGAAGAAGAAGAAGAAGAAGAAGAAAAATTAACTATTCATTGTCTTGAACATTATCTTCGTTCATTAAGAATTTTACAAATAAATTTAACAAGAAATCAACTTATTGAACTTTATCAAAAACATCGTATTGAAATTAGATTAAATACAGATATGTATTTAAAAAAATTATCAGAATTTCTTCGAGATTTATTTAAATATGATGAAAAAATATTTCAACAGACACAAATTCATAATGAAAATCAACAATTTCTTGTTAATATCAATCGTTCTTCATCGATTACAAATCAATTATCTTTTACACATGATTTTGATCTTGATACTTATTGTATTCTGTTAAATATTTTTGAAAATCAATTACCATCTTCTTATCAAATTCTTTGGTGTTCAAATACAACAGATGAAGATATTCATTTATTTTTTTCTCGTATACGAACATTTTCTTCTCTTACATTTGTTATTATGGATATTGATAAAATGCATTATCGTCTACGAGAATTACTTTTACATGAACAAGATTTATTAACACGTGAACAAAATAAACATGGACGAGTATTTTATTTTTCACATGAATTAATAACAAATCGAAAAGGTCTACGAGAATTTCACATACCAGCGAAATATAAAAATCCAAATCAAACTTATCAATATTTAATAAATCTATTTAAAGAACATCATATTATACCATTACAAATTCAAATTATCTATGGTAAAGCAGGTATTGGTAAGTATATAAGTAACGCTCGTCTGTGGACTTGCTCAGCTCTTTTTCGTAGAAGTGCTGTTTCTGGACTCTTCTCAAATTATTCACTTATCTATACTACTAATAGTAACTAGTTCCAGATTGAAATTCTTGTTTTTCAATTTTCTCTAGTGAAGTTTTTTTCTAAACTATGATGACATTAGTATACTTTACTACTTCTTAATATTGCTAGCTTATTAACACAAATTTATCATAGATTCTCGTGTTTTTATTGGGAAAATCTTTGATCAAGTTTTCCAGAAAAAACACTAATAATAGTAGTATTTAGAAAAAAAATCAAAACAGACTTCGGATTCAGGTTTCTGACCCTCAATTTCTCCTTTTCGAGTGTTGTAAAAAAATATTAATGATTAATAAATAAAACAGACTCCAGCTTTGGGTTCTCCACCCTCAATCACCTTCGGCCAAGTTTTGTCAGAAATATAAATGATTAATAATTATGTAATAATACGTTAATAAATAAAACCGGCCTCCGATTCGGATTGTCCAAGTTCGATTACCTTTGGTCAATTTTTTTGAAAAAAAATAATAATTATTAACCAGTTAATTATTAATTAATAATTAATCAATTAAAACTGACCTCAGATTTGGATTCCTTACCCTCAATTACCTTTGGTTAATTTTTCTATAAAATATTAATAATTAATAATCAATTAATTAAAATCGAGCTCGGATTCGTATTCTTCACCCTAAATTACCTTTGGTCACGTTTTATAGAAAACATTAATAATTGATTAAAATTAATCACAGATTTGAACTTCCCACCCTCGATTACCCTTTGATCAAGTTTTATGAAAAATAATCGCTTTTATTTTCATCTTATTCTTGGACCAATCAGTGAAGTGAGGACATACTATCAAGCAAGCAAGCAAATAATTTATTCTTGCTAGACTGTTCTCTACGAGAAAGAGAATAATCTTCATTATTTAAAGAAAAAGATTTTTTGTTCTACTTTTTCGTTTCAGGTAAAACTCATCGTATCAATAAAGAATATAAGACTGATCATACATTATGTTTTAGTATTAATGATAAATTAAATCTTTCATTATTAATTAGTTCATTTCTTTTATTTGATTCAAATATGATTAATAATAATAATCCATCGATTTTTTTCAATATATCTATTCATGCACCATTTGAAACATTAAATCGAATATTATTTTCACTTTTTATTTATGGATGTTTAAATGATCCAATTAGTGGTCTAATCTTTTCTTTATCAAATATTCAAACATGGAAATTTATTATTGAAATTCCTTATTCAGATGTGTCTGGTGTTGATATTCAAGAAAATTTCAATCAAATTTTACCTATTCTTTCTATTATTTCACCATTAACATTAGAAGAAGTTACTAATGAAAATTATCAATTATCAATTGATAAAGAAGAAGAACTTGTAGCAAGATTTTTAAAAGCATTTGAAAATGGAACTATTGATCGTATGATAACAATAACAAAAACTGGTCGTGAAATACCTGTTAGTTTTGAACCAATAACTAATATTAATGAATGTCGAACATATATTTATAATTGTATTCAAAAATATGCTCCAGAATTACCAAAAAATAAAATCTATGAAGTTTCATTTACTAAATTTTTATATCGTCGTATACATTTTTTTCAAGGATATTATTATTGTTGGAATGATAATATTGAACATTTAGGTAGTATTACTATACAACAAATGATTAATGAAGCAAAATTTTTAACACAAATTAATTTTCAAAATAATGATTATCCTCGTATTTATCTTATTTATGATCCAGGATTTTCTTTACATTTATTACATGCTGATTGGAATTATGTTTCAAATGAATTAAAAAGTTTTTTTAATAATCATGATCCATTTAAAGATATTGAATATCAAAATAAAGATTATTTTGTTGAATGTTTATCATGGTTAATTAATATTAAATATGAAATATTTATGAAAATTATTTATGAAACAAAATTTATTTTAACAGAAAATTTTGCTTATAAACTTTTTCATATACATGAAAGAAAATTAACTAAATTAGCATTAATTATTGAAGGTGATACTGGTTTAGGTAAAACATTTCTATTAAAATTCTATTCATTATTATTAAATTCAAAAAATACACATGATTCTCTTCAAGGAAATATTATTCCAACAATTATAGAAAATTCTAGTCAATTTCTTCTAAATATTATTGAAACAATTGTAGAACAACAAGCAAATATTTTGAGTATATTTCTTCAACGAATTAAATCAAAAATCTTAGATTTAGAAAATGATGATGAACTTCCAAATCAAAGACCAAGACAAATACCAGTTCTACTTACAGCAGAACAACAACAACAACAACAACAAAATAATGTACCAGTTGATAGTGTTCTATTAAAACAAGTTAAACTTTCGTTAAAAAAATATCAATTAAAGAAGAATACTTTATATTATATTTGGGAAACAATTCTAGATGTTTCAAGTGAAAATCCTATGGCTTCAACAACAACATTAATTCAAAAATTACATGACTATATTATTAATGAATTAGCTAATTATCCATTAATTGAAAGTAGTTCTCGATTGAAAAGTTTACTTCAAGAAATTTCTTCACCTACGATTGAAATATCGATTGAAATATTTAAAGAATATTTATTTCATAGTCAAATAAAACCATTATTTTATCGTCTTCTTTTACATCCTGGTATAACTGAAGAGCAATTAATTGAATTTATGTCACCAATTTGTTAATTAGCTCGAGAATTATCACAAATAGAAATTGTTATTTTCTTTGATGAACTCAATACAGCATCATGTCTTGGTCTATTCAAAGAAATGTTTATGGATGGAACATTATATGGTACAAA